AATTTTCCCTAAACAGATAAGAGCAGAATTAAAGCAAATCAATAGTCTTATGGGCTCAGGCGCTACACATAAGCTCTTACAGGGTTAGCTAACTTGATTGGTGGCGTATCAACGACGTTAGCCTCTATAGCTCTGATAGTTAACCATGTTCCCGTGGATTCTTTTCCTATCACTTGGTAGGGTACCTTGTGTTTTGTTGGATAATGTAGCTGATATCTGCCCCACTCGAGTTTTTCGATTCTTTATGGAGGCCTACTAATTTTGCAATGTATTATTGATCATTGTGATGTACTAGATAAGTAGACCCTTTGAAGATGATCTCTTCTCTTACTATTGCTAAACTTGGCGGGTTGACTTGAATCTGATTTTCTTGACCTTGATTATTAGTCCATTAGAAATTGGGATGATTTCTCCAACCTATATTATATATGTTGGAGTAAAGATTTTCACACTTCTATGTATGAGTGGAAGCTATAGGGCAACTTGCGATTGTATGATTTGCTCAACAGTCATACCAAGCCACCCATCCCACAGGTTAGAACTGCAAAGCTCATGAGCCAGCAAGGATCTTCCAGTACACTTATTTATGTAGCCGAAAAACAGCCTTCCCAAGCACCTATATCTCCACCAGTGATACTAGCATAGACATTGCTAATCAAATTGAAGCTATGCAACTATAGATGACACAAATCCAACACTCCATGCAATAGCAGTTTGACTACAAAAATAAATTCAAAAAAACATTGGTTTCTGGGTTCTCGCGCTGCAGTTTTAATTTTAGGAAAAGTGCTATCATGTTTATTCAATCTTTGGTATACCCAACACATCCAACCAATCCACCTCCTTCCCACCATGAAGCTAATAGCGATGAAGACAAATGATGTTTTATCTCACAAACTTAAATTAAATATCGTCCCCAATGTGATATTAAAGACAAAGGGGAAGGACTTCCCCTAGGAAGACGTCACTTTTCTTCATCGCTATCAGCGTCATGGTAGGGGTGGAGGTGGAGGTGGATTGCTTGGATGCATTGGGAATACCAGGGGTTGAGGAAATAGGATAGCACTCTCCCTAGAATTAAAATCGCAGTGCGAGAACATGGAAACCAATGCATTGTTGAATTAATTTTGTTATGTTGACCTATGGCTGATTATAATTTTAAAGTTCTGATTATAAAAAACAAGTTAATCTTGTTTACTAATAATTGAATTAAAGTGATTATAGTCTTCAAAGCATCCAATGATAAATTGACCGATCGTCGTCAAAATATCAAAACAAGACTATCACAAATCGAACTCAAGAAGAAGGTCAAGATCGAAGTCATACATTCAAGACAAGTCCTTTAAGAAAAGATCTTAAAAGAAAAATGTGAAAGAAAAATCAAGATGAAGAGCTTATGTGCCAAACATCAAATAAAGATCAAGACGAGAGGCCAAGAGCCAAATTTTGAAGTAAGATGAAAGACTCGATTTCTTACTTCAAATATAAATGTACTAATATTTTGATCTTTAGCAATGAATGATAAAATATCAAAAATCATTTTGTGCACTAAAAGCTATTTTAATTATCACTTGCATAAAATGTTTTG